TACAGTAAGAGCAATAAGGATATGGAATTCTCTCCCTGAAGAGGTGGTTTTGTCAGTCATTACATATGTTTAATCTGCAATTAGATAAATACTTGCAAAAACATAACATACAGGGATATCATTTCTAATTAGTGGGGTAATAGCTGCTTGATCCAAGGAGATATCTGACTGCTATGTTGGGGTCAAGAAGGAATTTTTCCTAGTTTGTGGCAAAATTGGAAGTGCTTCAGACTAGGTTTTTTGCCTTCTTTTGGATCAACAGCAAAAACATATGTGAAGAAGGCTGAACTTGATGGATGCAAGTCTCTTTTCAGCTATGTAACTATGTAACTATGGCAGACATACATACACTCACACACACTGACACAGACTACAACATTATTGCTTGTTTTAATACCTGTGGGGTCCTGTGGGTGGCATGCTGGGGGATTGTGGAGGCGGGAGGCTGGCTGCACATATTGTTGCGGGGCAGCGAGGGAGCTGTGATGTCCCTGCTCTGCTCCCTGATGCGCAGCTTAGTGAGGCCGGGACAGAACAGTTTCATGCTTTTCCTTCCTAGCTACCATTTTAGTTCTGTCATCCACCTTCTTTCCTTCATCCTCAGCTGTACTTTTCAAATGCCATGTCATTCATTTAACGTCGGTTCACCTGATGCGCAGTCTGCTTCCTTGGAAGGGCATCCCATATGCCCTCTTTAGTATACCCATTTACTATGAAATAACATTTGGTTTGTATATTACTACCTGAAGGGAGTTTGTTCCTAAAGTATTCATAGAGGAAAGATAATTACAGATTATAAAGACTAATGAGGAAGGGTACCTCCTAAATATAGAAAGACAAATCCACCCCACAGGAAGTACCTCTAGATAAAATACAATATAGGGTAATAAACTTTATTGAAAAAAAGTACATACTAAACATAAGTATAACAAGTGCTCGTGCAACCTAAATGTTTTGTTAAATAGTGTATAGAAAGTGATAATGAAATGACTGCTAAACCTGTATCACAAATGATCAATTTAGATTCTACAGACTACAAATGTAACATTTAGATAAAAAACCTAGTTTGACACAAAGTATCAAGACTGCTTTCTGTAGTGTCCTATGAACAGAGTGTGATACATACAGGATTAAATAACTTCTAAATCCACTCCCTACAGCCCCTGTGTCTTATTCCACCAGCCATATCATGTGTCTCAATTCCTCTAATCCATGTGTTTTATTCCCTCCAGTGGCGTCTCTAGGATTCATTTTTAGGGGGGGCACATGGTGGGCCAGGGACAAAAGTAGAGGGCACATTTAACCCTGCCCTCGCTGCAGTTTGACCCCGCCTCTGTTGCATGTTAAGCCCTGCCCCCAACACAATTTAATAATCCCTGGTAGAGGATTCATTATTTTCCACCAGGGATTATTAAAAAACAAACACATTACCCTTGATACAGTGCCATAGTTGCTAACATTTGAAAAAAAATTCCATGGACATTTTGCAGCACAGCTATCAATTACTTTCTGGGTATAATATCCCTGGACAGTCAGTGTATAATACAGGGTTGTGTGTATAATAAATTGGGACAGTCAGCTGTCCCTGTACAGTGCTGCTCTCTGTATAATACATGGCTATATGTATAATATGCCAGGAGAGTCAGTTCTCCCTGTATAGTGCTGCTCTCTGTATAATACAGGTCTGTTTGTGTATAATATCCCAAGACCGAGAGCAGGATATTATACAGACACAGACCTGTTTTATACAAAGAGCAGCACTATACAGGAAGCACTGACTATCCCGGGATATTATACACACACAGATCTGTATTATACAGAGAGCAGCACTATAGTATTATACGGATAGCTGAGCATATACCCCATGTCCCAATCTCTAGACTACTAGTACCTGTCAACAGCAGCTCTCAGACGCGTGTAATAGGGCTAAAGTGTGCGGCAGCTCACACAGATGATTCAGCGGTAAAGCGCACTCGCTGGCAGAGCAAAACAGGGAATCCAAAGCAGCCCAGGAAAAAAAATGTATGCCATTCCTACAAGTCTATATATATATATATACATGTATATATATTGTACAGTAGGCACACAAGCTCACTGACATGCGCAAATAGGCTCACTGACAGACAAAAAACTCTGACTAACACACAAGCCTAATACAGACAAACTCACTTGTATAAATACAAGACTCACTACAAAGAAGTTCAGGGACACACACAAGCTCACTAAATACAAGCTCACTGACACACACATGCTCACTAAATAGAAGCTCACTGACACACACCAGTAGTACCATCTTAACAGTGTTAAGGGCCCCGGGCAAAGCAGTGTACTGCGGCCCTTCCTACACAACAATTCACAGGAATACAAATTTAAATTATTGATAGTACATACAAATACACTGTACACTGAATACGAACACCGAGAGACTGCTGAATACGCACACACACAGATTTATGAATGCACACAGACTCCTGAATGCACACAGGCATTGCTGAATGCACATTTATACACTTACACACAGACTGCTGAGTCCATACACACACACTGCTGAGTATACACACACACACACAGACATACAGATTGCTGAGTCCATACACACACACAGACTACTGAATCCAAATACACACACAGACTGCTGAGTCCATATACCCACACAGACACACAAACACAGACAGCTGAGTCCATACACAAATACAGACTGCTGAGTCCATACATACATACACACACACACACATACTGCTGAGTTCATACACACACAGACACACAGACTGCAGAGTCCATACACACACACAGACACAGACTGCTGAGTCCATACACACACACAGACACACAGACTGATGAGTTCATCCACACACACACACGCACAGACTGCTGAGTTCATCCACACACACACAGACTGCTGAGTCCACACACACACACACACACACACACACACACACATAGACTGCTGAGTCCATACACACAGAGACTGCTGAGTCCAGACGCACACAGACTGCTGAGTCCATACACACACACACTGCTGAGTCCATACACACACAGACAGACACACAGACTGCTGAGTTCATACACAAACAGACAGACACACAGACTGCTGAGTTCACACACACACACACAGACGCACAGACTGCTGAGTTCATACACACACACAGACTGAGTCTATACACATACACACACACACACACACAGACTGCTGAGTCCAGACACACACACACACACACACACACACAGACTGCTGAGTCCATACACACACACAGACTGCTGAGTCCACACACACACACACAGACTGCTGAGTCCATACACACACACAGACTGCTGAGTCCATACACACACACAGACTGCTGAGTCCATACACACACACAGACTGCTGAGTCCATACACACACACACAGACTGCTGAGTTCATGCACACACACAGACTGTGTGCCAAGTCCATACACACACACATAGACTGCTGAGACCATACACACACACACACACACAGACTGCTGAGTCCACACACACACAGAGACACACACACGAGACTGCTGAGTCCATACACACACACACACACACACACACAGACTGCTGAGTCCATACACACACACACACACACAGACTGCTGAGTCCATACACACACACAGACTACTGAGTCCATACACACACAGACAGACTGCTGAGACCATACACACACATACTGCTGAGTCCACACACACACACACACAGACTGCTGAGTCCATACACACACAGACACACATGCACAAACTGCTGAGTTCATACACACACAGACTGCTGAGTCCATACACACACACACACACACACACACACACACACACACACAGACTGCTGAGTCAATACACACAGACACACACACACGCAGACTGCTGAGTTCATACACACACACACAGACTGCTGAGTCCATACACACACACACAGACTGCTGAATACATACACACACACACACACACAGACTGCTGAATACATACACACACACACACACACACACAGACTGCTGAGTTCATACACACACACACAGACTGCTGAATCCATGCACACACACACACAGGCTCTGCTGAATCCATACACACACACACCAAGCCTACCTGTCACTGGAGTCTGTTGCTGGGGGTCAGACAGCCATCTTCCATCCTTTCCAGCAGCAGCATGGTCTGCTGCTTAACGGCGGGGACGGGGCTTATGTGAGGAGGCGGACCTTCATTTGGGGGCGGGTGCTGTGCCGGGGAGCCTGTCAGTGCTCCCTCCGGCCACAGACAATACCCAGCACTGCATTCCCTCGGGCTCTAACACACTGTTACAGATTGTTACAGCCCGAGGAATATAATTTAAACACATGGCCAGCAAGTTGCTGGCATTTGGTGTGGCCCAAGGGGAGGCACAGCTTGATGTAGGGGGGGCCTTGGCCCCCTCTGGCCCCCCCCCCAGCGATGCCACTGATTCCCTCCCCCCTGCCTGTGCCTGATCACCTCTCTCCTTGTAACGTGACAATGGACTGCAGTAGAGGAGCTTCTGTTTCTTCTACCGGTCTGACAGGAAGTTGTTCAGTGGTCTCAGTAAGCATTTCCTGTCAGACAAGGTAGAGGTTATAGAAGTTCCTCTGTCTTAGTCTGTGGCTCGGTAATGCTACATACAGTGACCACTAGGAGGGTAATGCTGTGCAATGTGGGTGTTGAGTGGGCTATTTTAAGTCCTTGCCTTCTATTCACTTAGACTGCTGTTTTGAAGGATGGAACTGTAGTGACATAGAGATCAAGGAAACACGCAGAACTGCTGTCATTATCCACAAAGAAATCACGGACATTCTCACATGTCACACAGACGTTATAAGCATTTCCCCATATCTGTCAAAATATCAGTGAAGAAGCCCAAGTTTTCATTGAGACCAGGCTACTATGAATTAATACTTTAAGGCATAATTAGGGGTTGTATCTGTTTATTATGTTATATATAATATGATGAACATGACAGTAATGGTATTATACTTTACGATTAGCTGTAAATTACATGTTTTTTTCTTTCATTTTCGGTGTATACTCCTTTTTATTATCACATACTATTAGCTTCCGAGTTACGGTACCTATAGAAGTTGGCCTCTCCATTAGAATCACCCAAGGATTTAAGGCATTCATTATCTCGGTATACACTAGAACCTCTGTAACTACCGTCCTCTTCTTCCTCTGTGTTGCTAAGCATGAGCTTCATTTACCTTAAGGATGTCACTTACTTTACTGAGAGGGTAGTGGATGCATGGAATAGCCTTCTAGCTGAAAGGTTTAAGTTAACACAGTAAAGGAGTTTAAGCATGCGTGGGATAGGCATAAGGCTATCCTAACTATAAGATAAGGCTAGGGACTAATGAAAGTATTTAGAAAATTGGGCAGACTAGATGGGCCGAATGGTTCTTATCTGCCGTCACATTCTATGTTTCTATGTTTTTATGTTTCTATGTCACTATCCCAGGTATAAGTGATGGGGTAACTAGGTAGGTCCTAATGCATTTAAAGGCTTCATTTATTCATGGAAAAAAACAAAAGGGTTTGCAATGATATTCTTGCAGGCTTCAATTATTCTGGTTTGAATGTGCCACTTACATATAGAGCAATGAAGAGATATCCTAAGTACATCATGTCAAGCAGGGGCATGATTGAATGGCAAGGGAACACGTTGATAAAGAAAAATATACAAATTATGTATACTGTAAATATCTAAATCTCATTCACTCACACAGGTCCCTGGACTAAGTTTAGGAATCATTAGTAGAATGATGCTCTGTTGATTATGTAATTAAATGCATAACAATGTAAAATACAACAAATGCAAAAACTAACATACATTACTCTAAGTCACACTATGCTTAATAAAAATCCATAATCAGCATTAAATGTATACTAGCTAAATAAGGTGGTGCCCCTCCTGGCATAGTTTAAAAAAATAAGATATACATTTAACCAATAATTTTATCAATAATCCATGTATTGAGCAAGCAAAACCCCAAGCAGGGGATTTATCATGTAGCTACTCCAGTTATTGTATTCAACCATATATTTTAAAATTAAAGGCTTTTTGAATGGCAGTCTTATCACAATTATTTTTCTGTAGTTCACAATACGTGTTCTGATATTTCATCTGCAGGCTCTGAAAACCAAGAGCAAAGGTATATTATTATATTGTCTGATGCATGACTTGTTTAATTACATAGATTGAATCTCTGTTTGCAGACCATATACTTGATTTTGTTTTGCACTTTAAGAAATACAACCTTGATATTAGCTGTACAGCTTTCCTTATAATAAAATCAAACTATTCTGGATACTTTAATCGGGTAAGATTATTTCATGAAAGGCTTGTACTATAAGCACATGGTAGAAATCAGCACCTGTCTGTAGTCTGGTTCCCTGGATGGACGGTCATAACACTATATTGTTATAGGGACGTGCAGCAATTGACATTTGGTTTGTGGATTAAAATCTTAAAAGGTGTTTTACAACAGAATCCTATACAAATTGTAAGATATTTCTGTTCATTATGCTGTGAAATTGCACAGATGTATCACCAGTCCCTAACGTATGCACCACAAAGAATGATAAATCTGGTTACAGTTCCAAGACCATTTAAATGTCCCTGCGCTTACCACATGACCTATTGATGATCCAGCCAATAGGCTTAAATGATGCATAAAATAAAGATTGTGTTTAAGGACTGGGGATCCCATAGCAAAATTAATTAATTTCATTTTAAAGTCTCAGAGGAGGGAGGAAAATGGAAATTTGACTTTTTCAGTTTTATCTGTATATCCATCTAACCACATAACAGAAGTACTTGAGTCTGAATTAACTGGCTTCCCAAGCAATCAGGGTACCTGGCTAGATTACGTTAATTTCACTTTAAACCTCTATAATGTTACATGTCCATGGTAGAGAAGGGTAATTTGTATATATGTGCTGAACATGTATACAAAACCACTAGAACAGGGATTGAAAACCTTTTGGTACTCCAGATATTATAGTCATCTTTTGCATATTCTCTTCCCCACATGTTCCTAACAAACCGTACACACTCTGGCTGAAGTATCCCATGCTACTTATTTGAGTAAACCATACCTGGTTCTGACACACTTTTATCAAGATACACTGAATTGTTCTATTGTACTTTTTTTTTTTTTTAGTCTTTATTTTTCGTGTGCATGAGACAATATAACATTAAGACCCGTAGCGCCACAGCAGCGGTCACAGGCTTTCAGTAGCAAACATTATCATGGCAAGAGTAAATAGCACATTTTTTTTTAAAAGGAGAAAAAAAACAGGATAGTAATACTTGTTAACTAAATCTGCGTTTACTGTGCAGACAATTGTCCTGGTTTGGTGAGATATAACCCGGTGGTGCCTGGGTATAGCAAGCCCGCCGTGCCATACTGTAGTTAAAGATCGATTTAAGAGAAGCCGTGTATGTGATGACAATGTCGTGGCCCCTCTTAAGTAGATCCAGACACAATAGGTTGTGGAGCCAATATAGGGGTGCCACAGGATATGAACAAAAACAAATCAAAACATGGTAAACATAAACTAAACTTTGGTTGGTACTGCAATAATAATCAAAGTAAAGATAATGATCTCGCTGAGACACCACGTGTGTGAGACTTGACCTAGCACCCCCAGCTTGGTACCTGGTTGTACAAGGTTATGGCACCTATTCGCAGGTTACCTAGGGTATCTATGTGTTAGTGCTCATAATGTTGGATGCAGGCATTTAACTAACCTTGTGCTGTTTAGGACGACAGTTGTAAACCATCGGTAATTGCAGCGTTTCTGCATTTAGCTATGTGCATGAAAAAGTGAGTGCTGTAACTATTAACTGAATGTGGCCAACCAGGTATATGGAGCTCTCTGCTATGTCGATTAAGAGCGTGACTGAAAGAACAATAGTTAGATCTGTAGGTAAATAAGTCCCAGTTTGTGGGTGGTGGGTCTTCCCTGGTATGTGAGTCTTTCGCCAACCCACCCCCCGTGCCGGGAGGCACAAGTCCAGTGCGTGTAAGGTCTTATTATCTATGCTGACTTCCGGAGTGGCCCTCAGAGATCGGGTTCCATCGGCATCTAGGGAAGTGTGGAGGATAGTGGTCATCCAGCCAGTGCCAGTCAGGAAGTGCAACGATGGAAAATATAGGAAGCGTAGATTTAAAAAAAAAAAGAAAAAAAAGGGGGGGGGGGAAATTAGAGTCACCTCTCTCGGGCTGTTTCCAAAAGACAATGGGGTAGTGATGTGTGCTGGGAAAGAAATGTCCCGGTGTTGATGCTGCAATTGTAAGTCCCGGTTCAGGTCGTAGCCGCTGCGTAGGATTCCGCGGGAGGACGTAGTGGCACGAACTCTGGGGCTCTGGCTGCATCTCTACTGAAGGAGTGCTTGGGCCCAGATGTTGTCCCGGTTGATGTAAGTGAGTCCAGGGGGAGGTTGAGTTTGCCGAGGGCCCTCGTGGCCTCTTGTAGGTCATGGATAACTTGTGATGTTTCCCCGGCGGTAACATGTAAAATGTGGCCTGGTCCCCACCGGTATTTAATTTGGTGATGCCGCAGCATGGCGGTAAGGTCTGCATAGGGCCATGTCTTCGAAGGAGTATGTTGTATGGCCCTTGGTGGCATCTAAACTGCAGCTTTATCCTTGAGTGTTTGAAACCAGATTACCACGTCTCTGGTGGTGTTAGGAGGTGCATTAACTGGTCGCGGTACCCAAAAGATCCCGTCTATCAGAATTGTTCTGGCTGTCTTTGGGTTCAACAGTGCGGTGAGTAATCTCCTGGTGAGGTGTGGGAGCTCTGCTTCTGGTACGGCATCCGCAACACCTCTAATTTTCAGGTGAGATTGGCGGCGTTTGTCTTCTAGTGTTGATAGTTGTTGTTCGTGATGCAGGTTTTGTTGTTGCGGTTATGTACAGCTGGCTGGAGCTCCGCGATCAGGTGGGTGTGTTTGTTGGAGGTCTCCTCTACTGCTCCCAGCCGTGCTGCTATAGTTTTGCGATACCCCTCGGATCAGGGCCACATCCGCAGCAATCTTACCGTGGTGTTCCGCCATGAGTTCACCCAAGGCCTCCATGGTCAACGGAGTGGGAGTTATTTCTGCAGGCCGGGACTGCGCCTGTGTCGGCGGTGGCAGTGCCGGAGCCGGTATCGGGACTCCGTCAGCGTCGTCGGAGGTCTCATCTGAGAAGTCCGTGCAGCCTCCGTGTAGGGACGCCATCTTGGCATCTGTGGCATCGTGGGCCTGCCGCCAGAGCTCCCCGATGTTCATGGCCAGCCGGGGCTTATCTGCTTTTTGCTTTTTCATTTTTCAACCCATGGGGCCCTCTGAAGTGTAGGGATTACCGTAGCGTGAGGTTGGCTCGTGTGTGAGCGTGGATATTGGTTGTTTACAGAAGTAGATGCCGGGAGCTCTGCGGCCATGCAACCTTCTTCAGTAGCTTAACTCCGCCCCCGTTCTATTGTACTTTGAATCACTTTATATCTTATAATACGTTGAGTTAAATTTTATATTGTTCTGTGTACAGTAAATTTAACTTTATAGTAAAGCCACACTATACAAATATGTTTTCCTAACACTATAGTGCCATTCTAATAAGTTAGTTGACCCCCCTATGTCATTACTACAAAGTAAAGACATTTTATTTCACCTTGTGCCATTTACTTAACTTTTTACTTATTCCCATTTGCAGCACCTATCTCCAAGACTAAGATAATCAAGCCCCATAGGAAAGCATAGGAAGGCAAGTGTGCATGAACAGTTGAAAGCTGCACTGCATAAATCAGGGTGACAGCCACCAGAGGCATTTAAAATTCTGCAAACATTGCAGTTCCTGCAGAAAATGTTGTACGTTGCAGGGTTAAAAAAGACAAGGATGTGGCAACCAGACCACTTCATTGTGATGAAGCAGTCAGAGAATATGCCTTTAAACAATAATTGGTACTAAACCATGAACCTCACAAACTAGGAAAATAGCAATGTCAGTATACTTGCTAAAAGAATAATTTTATTTCAAAATGTAAAAACCATTTCTGGACATAGCATTCATTTTTAGAAATTACTATATAGAAACCTAACTTAACTAAAGCAACATTATCGATACTGATCTAATGGTTCTGGAGTATTTTGTTTTTCAGCCTAAATAAGAAATATCAGGATTCCTCTTTATTGGTTGAGATTTATAAATGGAAAATATGTAGTATAAGATCGTCATCTGTTCACCATTTTATGAACAGAAAAGGAACTTACCGTATATAATGGGTCTTCACCCTAAAGGAAACAGAACAAATAGGTTATAAAAGGGAAGATATCTCATTTGGACAGAATGTCGCGTAGACTGACAGGATCATTCACGAAAGTAAATTTCAAATTCAAGGTAAAAATACCTGAACTGGAAACATTAGGATTATGTTCTAAAACCGAATGGGCAGGGCCGGCCGTAGGCAATTAGGTGCCCTGTGAGAAAAGTCTTCATGGCTTCCCCCCTACCCCCCACCAAGTTGTCTGTATACAGTCACACACACAGGCACAGGCAGACAGTTACAGGCAGACAGTCACACATGCTCAGTTAAAGGCAGATAGTCACACACAGTTACAGGCACACAATCATAAACAGTTACAGGCACACAGTCACAAGCAGACAGTCACACAAACTCTGTTACAGGCATGCAGACAGTCATGCACGCTGATAGTCACACACACACTCCGTTAAAGGCAGATAGTCACACATACAGGCACACACAACGGCACAACTACAGCGACACATACAATTGGAGTCACACACAGACAGACAGTCACACACACACACACACGGAGGCAGTTACACAGACAGACAGTCACACACATACACACAGACAGTCACACATACACAGGCAGGCAGACAGTCCCACACATGCAGGCAGGCAGACAGTGACACAGACAGACAGTCACACACACACGCATGCAGGCAGACACACACAAGCAGGCAGTCACACAGACAGACGGTCACACACAAAGGCAGGCAGACATTCAGTCACAGTCACATACACAGTCACACAGGCAGGCAGTCACACGCACACACACAGGCAAACACACGCAGGCAGTCACACACATACACACACAGGCAGACACTCACACAAACAGTCAATCAGTCACACACAGACAGGCAGTCACACAGACAGGCAGTCACACACAGCCAGGCAGACACTCACACAAACAGGCAAACAGTCATAGTCACACACACACTCACATGGGCAGTCAGACAGGCAGGCAGTTACAGATGCACAGACAGTCACACACACACACACACACACACACAGGCAGGCAGTCACACAAACAGGCAAACAGTCTCACACACACACACACACACACACACACTTACCTCTTTCCTGTGGATGCAGTTGGTTGTTGGGGAAGCAGGGACTCCTTCCTTCTTACCTCTTCCTGTGCAGCAGTTACCAGGGGCTTCGGGAAGGTATTAGCTCCACCTCCACCTTGTGATAAGCCCCTCTGCTGCTCGTTAAGCCCCACACCCCGCCACTTCAATATTTTTTTATTTATTTTTTAATAGACCCGGGTGGAGAATAATGAAATCCTCCCCCCAGGGTACCTGTTTTAACTCCCATGCACTCCTGTCACCCGGCCATTTGCGAGCTGTGTCGGCCGCATGGCGCCCCCTGCTCCATGGCGCACTGTGCGGCCGCACAGCTGGCACACCCCTAAGGCCGGCCCTGTGAATGGGCAAATATCATGAGAAGTGAGACTTACCTGTCAGAGTGCTGTGACTGAGATTTAAAAGAATGGGAAGATCTATAAAGGCTTTTCCCGTCTTGAGATCGTTGTTGGCACAGAGCCCTTACAGGCTCTTTTTCTTATTTATTTTTGTATTTTGGAATTCAAAATTTTCTTTTCTTTATTTAATAGTACCATTGAGATCTAAGATTTATTTTATATGAATTTATGTGAAGGAGAAATAAGACTTTGGAATGTAAGTATGAAGTATTTGTATAGGTATTCTATTTATTTGGCCCTCCCTCACTATTATTAGAAAAAGTGAGTTAGGTAGGGATATTTTTTTATTGGGTATATATTTCCTCACACCTTAATCCTTTTTACCTCTCTACTTCCCCTTTCATTCTTTTTTAAGTTCACCTTAAAGGGACATGCATTACTTTGAGACAACTGTCACATTCTAAAGCTTTACAGACATCATTGCTGAGGAAAACAAAATTGCGGCGCCAAGATACTGGAGGTTGGAGAATAAACATAAGTTGCAAAAGGAAAGGAAAGGAAAGGAAGATAAAACACATAATAGAGCAGTTTAACAGTGTTTTGTTATTTTAAAGGAGTTTTATGCCATTTTATATATATACAAATATATCTCACTTGTGTTGTATTCGGCATATTGTCATGAATTTCGGATGGTTCCTGCCTAGTTTGTCCTAAAGATTTAAAACAAGTATAGTTAATGAATCCTATAACCGCAGAATGAATGCTCATACAAAAGGCTGAGTTCAAGAAAACACATCCTAACTTCTTCCACTAATTAAGACAAACAATAACTAACAGAGCTACTAAAGACAGAGCACATTTATAATCTGAAATTTAGAAGCGAAACAGAAATAAGTGGCCAAAACACCTCTCGGTTTTTTCGCTGTTTATGAAATTCAAGGGATTTAAAGACTCTTGGTCAATTAAAATGCAGTGTATTTCCTAAGCAAAAATTTGAAGAATTAAATGGACATTATAGGCACCCAGACCACTTCAGTGTTGTGGGTGTAGTGTCTCAGTCCCACTTAGTCCAACAATGTTAAACATTGCAGTTTTGTTTACATTGCAGTGCTAAGACAGCCTCTAGTGGCTAACTAGACTTCCAGGCGTTTTCCGGACTCTGGATCGCTAACTGGGGCTGGACATCCTCACTCTCTGCATGAGGACATCCAGCGTCAGTAAAATCCCCATAGTAATTTGAGGCAATGCTTTCCTGTGGGGAGGGCCTAATGCGCTCACCATGCATGCGCATTAGGCCCCCCCATCAGATGATGTCAGAGGAGTTGGAGCACCAACACAGCACCGAGGGAGATCAACGCTGGAATCGGGTATGTAAATGTTTTTTTATAATATATATATTTTGAGTTGAACAAACAATAGCAGCGGAACTTTTCCTCCGATTACTGTACAACTACTGTACAACGTCTTGTTATGTTTTTATGTCTGTGCTCATTCTGTCTGTATTTAGTCTTGACCGACACTGTTATGACTTATGTAAAATAGTAGTGCTTGATAATAAACATTATAATAGTAAACACTGAATGAAAAAAAAATCTAAATAAAGTCACATCCCCAGTAGTGCAGTTTGAAGCCTCACAATTTTTCGACTATTCACAGCATGAGTGTCTTAAAAAAATATTAGTGACAGACAGCACCATACTCTGTGTCGGAAATGTCCCCCTCCCCTTGTCTCAGTGGCGTAACAATAGCAGTTGCAGGTGTGACGAGGCCTGTCAATCCAGGGGACCCTGCTGCCCTGTCGACCCCTGCGATGCAACTCCTGTCTGTCTTTGCCCTCAGTGTATTCAGAATCCAGGGATTTGTACTGACGTCATAGCTGCAGCGCTGCTTCTCCTTTCTGTTTGTGCAAAGTATTGTCCGTGAAGAGCAGCTCCAGCATGATCCTCTGGCCGCACTGTCCGAGAGCGGCCCACAGATACAGCTCCAGGGCCCAGGTCACTGCGTCCAGCTCCTCCTGGGTGCCCTTCCAGGTCTGGGTCTGGCGGAGGAGCAGCATCCACAGGCTGTCTGGGGAGGGCAGGCAGGGAAAGCAAGGCTCCAGCTGGCTGCAGACCAAGCTCACCTGCCGGTGGGTGTGCTGCAGATCCTTCACAAAGTACAGGCCACCCAGGTGCTCTGCTCCTCGCTCTCTTCCTGCCACCTCTGGCACTGCACTGCACTGTCAGGTAAGGTGAGGTAAACTTGTTCTCCATGTGGTTTCAAACCATGATGAAACCCAGCTTGTACTGTTCGGCCTTTTCTTAAGGTGCATGGCCACTTAGCCCTCCAGGCTGTCCATCTGCTAGCACTCCATGGGCTGAGCCTTGGGATCTCACAACATTTTGCCCCCATGCTCGGGGCCCTTAGTATCTCACAGGCAGTGTATTTGTGCATGTCTGTGTCAGTGTGTGTATCTGTGTGTGTCAATGTATGCAACTGCATGCCTGTCTGTGTATATATCTTTGTGCGTGTCTGTGTATATATCTTTGTGCGTGTCTGTGTATGTATCTTTGTGTGTGCCAGTGTATGTCAGTGTATGTATCTGTTTGTGTCAGTGTATGTATCTGTGTGTGTCAGTGTGTGTATATATGTGTGTGTCAGTGTATGTATCTACTTGTGTGTGTCAGCGTGTGCATTTGTATGTCAGTGTATGCAACTGTGTGTGTGTGCGTCAGTGTATGTATCTTTGTGGAAAATTCAATTTGCACAGGCACTTTTTTAGCCCTAATTGTGCTAGGTATCAAGGTAGCCCACATTAAATACCCTATACCAATGAAATACATATGATAACACACTCAATTATAGATATAAAGTAAAATATCTGTTTATTATTCCATCTATTAAAAATTAGATATCTCTAAAACTCAGTGGAAAAAAAAAAAAATAATAATATTATATATACACACATATATATATGGCAAAAGACAGATTTATTGCATAAAGTTATATCCTATGTGGACTCAATAATGCAACACCTTAGGTGATATGCCTTGACAAAAATAAATAAAATGTCCCTAATTGAAATGCCACCTCAATAACCAGTGCTATTGTTTAAATAGATGCTATATGGGTAAAGGCCCCGTGGCGAAAATGACCTCGCCACTGGTTTTTGGAGTGGCCTGTTTGCCAGCTTCCTGCCCAAAGACTATGGGCCCAGCAAAAAGACATGTTAAAAAGTGACTTCCATGGGAAAATGTGCCTCTTCCCCACCCCCTTTTTCCTGTCCTATTGGTTCCCCAGCAGGGCATTGTCCCAGGGACACTGCCAGACCCATTTAAACTGGCTGCTTTGTCCTTCTTCAATCTCTCATCAGCCCTTGCTAGTGTCTGACCCTTGCTGTGTGTATAACTTGTAAGTGCTGGTTTGCATTAAAGAGTTCCTGTTTTACCCTCAACATAGAGTCTCATCTTATGTGCGAGTGAAAAGGCTGCATCTACCCTGGGGATTGCTATATCACTATACTCCCCAGGGATTATAATCACTAAACTCTTTTAAGAGCTGTTCCTGCTTGACTTTCTGGATAAAGATTGGTTCACCCACTGGAACCTGTAGCCTTGTCGTAGGTTCAGGGTGGGTAGGAGAAGGCGAGTTCCCAGCCAAGCTGTAACGCTGGACATGGGGACTGTGGTGCTGATGGTGTCTGGTGGAGTGCTTGGAGAGCAGTAGGAGCATCCATCGGCGGAGGTACCCAACCGGGTTACAGGAAGCTCCATTACAGGCCCTATCTGCAATTAACAATAGTTGTCTGGACATAAAAAAGAGCAAAGAAAAAAAATCTTGAAAATTAATGAAAAATGAAAAGACAAAATAAACTTGAAAAATACTTGAAAAATTGAAAAAATGTATATACAGTCCCAGTGTGTACACACTAAAAGATTCCAAAACATGCTCCCATATGTGGATACTATTGGATGGATCTCCCCACTCCTGAGTTCTGGGTATAGCAGATTTGCTATATTTGCTATGCTATATTTGCTATGATGTTGTGGCTTGTCCAAATATGTTTGAATGAGATTACTCCTGCATGTGTCCGAGTGATTGCAGATACTGTCCAAGTCAGTCTCTGGTTGCCTTGAGTTCTGGCTGTCACTAGGGTGCCTGTGTTGCGCGCCCAAACTGGAGGCGAGTATTATACAGCTTCTATATTAATATAACTTTTGCTGCCTCATTAATTGTAAATTTTATTTAATACTTTTTTTCTGTTAAAGCGGCACTGTCATGGCCGAACCCCATTTTTTTTTTAACTCTCCCCCCGACTTCACTACATCTAATCGACCATCTAGTCACCCCCCAAACGCCGCTAGTTTTTAAACTTTATTTTCTGCCCGGAGCTAGGTTCTGGGCACCGACATCTTTGTGTGGGTAGATGAAGGCCCTGTGGGAAATGTCATCTGACCACACTAGATAGCACTGTGAAATTCCCGTGCATGCCCAGTAAAACAATCATCAGAAAGACGAATGAATGAATAGAAATGTCAGGCGCGCAGCTCCCTCCTTGTAAAATGTACTGAGCGGCAGGTGGGGGCCATAAAAAACAATGAGGGGGGAGCTATTGTCCTCCCCCAGCCCCCACCCCTGAGCGGCAGGTGGGGGCCCTAAATAGCAATGAAGGGGGACCTATTGTCCTCCCCCCTGCCCCCACTCCTGAGTGGCTATTGGGGTACATAAATAACAATAAGGGGGGGACCTATTATCCTCCCCCCCCGGCCCCCACCCCTGAGCGATGGGTGGGGGTCCTAAATGAAAATGTCCCCCCCTCAAAAGGTGCCTAGGGGTCCCCAAGCACCTAGTCACCCCCCCCACCCAAAACAAAAATTAATAAACCCCTACCTACCCCCCTCACTCTTAAAATAGTGAGGGAGGAATAAAAGAACTTGCCTGTAGAATAAATGTAAACTTACCATTTGATGTCTTCTTTTTTTCTAAAATCTTCATTTTTCAGGCCCCAAAAAGGCCAAATAAAAACCATAATACCCGTCAAACTTGGAAAAAATTAAATAAAAAAAACCAGAGAGCCTGAAAAAATCTGACAAAAAAGAAAAAACATGATGCTAAAAAATGTATCCATCTTCACCCAGCAAGGGCATGGTGGTTCTTTGGAATTTTCTCACGCTGTGTAAAATGACACAGAGCACTCTGATTGGTTGAATTTCAAGCCAACCAGAGTGCTGGGACAGGTAAATGTAGAGACTTTGTCAGTCTCTTCATTTACCTGTCAAAGCACTCTGATTGATTGGCTTAAATCAAACAATCAGAGCGCTCTGAGCCTAATTGCATGGAGTGGGAAGGCTTTATAAGCCTTTCCCCGCCTTGCGGAGCTCAGTCTGCGCCGTTCCCTCCATGGGTGAAGATTGATTACTTTTTTAGCATTGTGTTTTTTTCTTTTTCGTCTGATTTTATTTTGCGCTCTGATTTTTATTTTCATTTTTACAAGTTCGACAGGTATTATGGTTTTTATTTGGAGTTTAGATTTTAGAAAAAAATAAGACATCAATAGGTAAGTTTTTTTTTTTTTTTTAGCCCCCTTCTCATTTAGTGGGGGTTGGGCTCTAGGTCCCCCCTTCAGTTTAATATCCCGCACTCGCGCGGCACGTTATCTACTAAGCGGCTTCAAGATGCAGCTGCGGCACGAATAGGATCGGAGTTTCATTCATTCGAATGAAATTGCGTCCTAACATGGTTGAACAAACTGTTCTCATTCTGTTAGGAATGTCACTAATGTAAAAAAAAACTAAATTGCTGAATCTTTAATATACAAAATATTGCATGAAAAAGTTAACATAAGTAATACAATTTCCTGAGAAGTGTTACTCCCTCTTATATAGGGCAGTGAAATTTTCAGCAATGGTAGCATTTCTACTTTAGAACCAAGAATCCCAGTCAGACCAAGCCACCAGTAAGTGTCCCAGGGCAAGATGATATATATCTACCTAACTCAAATACTTATAGATTGTAAACTTGTTTGAGCCTGGCCTTCTTCATATAGTCCTTCTATAATTTTACAGTACTACTAAATACATTGGTGCTATATAAATTAATAAAAATAATATATATGTGTGTATATAAAATATACACCTCTGCAAGTTCACACGAAAAAAAGCCCTTGCATAATGAGCTAATTTTCAAGTTTTCCTTACCTGAAGATTTTTGTCTTTTTTCAGGAGCAACAGTTCTGTGGTACTGTAAGAACGTTGCACTGATGATCAGCATTGCTCCAAGGATGGACCCACAAATGATTCCAGCTATATATCCACCACAGGATCCACCAGTTTCTAAAACACCATATTATATCGGTATTGAGACATAGTGCTGTAATATATTCCATTTTAGCTCTCTGAGCCCCATTAATTAGATATTTAAGTATTTTGCTGGCCTTGATTCCATACCTATGTTCTTCACAAAAACCATTCCCTTTTAACATGTCCATCCTTCTCAGAATATTTACAAGTTACCATCAAGAAAAATCAAGTTTATCCAGATTGTTATTAGATTTTTTTGTTTTGTTAAAAAATAGAGCTTAGTAATTTCACAGAGATACATGTTAATATGCATTTGTCTGTGATTAATAAAATCAAATTATTAGGGAGAAATTATATTTGCAAAGTAGTGTTGGAATTGTGGGTAGCAATTTATAAGTTTGTGTTTGTAGGGTTTAAAGGTGAAATATCCCATTCAGTATATATATATAGTTGAGTTAAATAATTAGCTCCACAAAAAAATAATGTCAGTACTATACTTTATGCCAAAGTATATTTCATGAGTTAACATAACTAAGCAGCAATGTCAAAGAAGTGCAAAACTGTCCAAAGGAAAGCATAACAGCAATGCCAGTAGATATGCAGTAAATGGCTTAGTGGTTTACAGTGGGACACACACATTGAAGTGCCATAAACTGGTGGGGTTCATGCCATCCAGACACAGCTGCTATTTCCATATTCTGCCATTTATTCAGACCCTGTCATGCTACCATACTTTCCAACATTTGGACAAAAATGGGTATTTTAATTTTAGAAGTGTGGGTAGTGGTGGAGATGTTCTGAGAAATGTATGTGACTTAATACTAACAATTTTATGCAGCTAAAATGTGATTTATAACAAGAACAATATATCTTATTTACACAGACTAATTTCTAGACACATTTACTTTAGTTTAAAGACACATTACTCGGAGTATTATTGCTGTAGAGCTCTGTTATACACTCAGACACGCCAACAATATGGAGCTCATAGAAAAGAGGGGCATTACGAGAGAAAGGAGGGACAGAGTGACTTGCGCCAAAATAGGAACTGCCCCATCTAAATAGGGACACTTGGGTAATATGTAGATTTTGTCCCTATAAATATGTTGATATTACATACAGTTCTGAAGAATTGCAGTATCTTGTATAGCCTGTTTTTTTCAATATCCCTAAATGTTTGTTCACAACACAACACAAATAATACGAAGAGCAAAAAATAATTTAAAATAGTTATATTACTATTACTATAATTATATGTGCAGCTGTAATATTAAACGCTTTCATTTCAGTGAATAATCAAAATAAATACAGTAAGACAGTGACATTGCATAAACAAAAACTAAATTTTCACTCATAAAACTGACTAAATTAGCCAATAAGGAAATTTGGCTTAATAACAAACACTGTAAGGGTAAACGGTCTAGCAGACAGAGGACGGGTAACTGTCTGAGTGCACTGTTGTGTATGGGATGTACATAAGCTTGCTTTGTGAGCCTTAGTCATAAGACTCACAACACCACTGTGTAAGGGTTTTAATATTATTTACATTTGTGGTAATACACTATGGGTTCCTTTATTTGTATTTAAGATATTCTCATACTGATGTTTTGACACAGCTGAGCTGCTAATGCTAATTGAGAAGACAGATTTTACAAGAACTGCTTAATATTATAGGGGCACTATAGTCGCAAAAAACAATTTTAGCTTGTTGAAGCAGTTTTTGGTGTATAGATCATGCCTCTGAAGTCTCACTGCTCAATAAATTCTCAAGGGGTAAAATAAAATATTTGTTTCTGTTCATGCAGCCCTAGCCACACCTCCCCTGGTTGTGAATGACAGCCTGCATGAAAAAAAATATGTTTTTATTTTCAATCCAATGTTAACTTACTTTAAAAGTTTTAATCTCCTTCTCTGTAAATTGAACTTCAATCACAACCAGGAGGCTCATGCAAGATCTAGCGAGCTATTAACAGTGCAGGAGATAGGGAATTATAAAATAAAACTGTGCAATAAAGGAAGTGTAAACATTAGATCTCACTCTACAGGAAGTGTTAAGGAATGCTTTGCAATTGTTTGCAGGGAGGTGTTACTAAGGCTGCATAAACAAAGTGATTTAGCTCCTGCATGGCAGAGAATTAAACAGTGAGATTGCAGGAGAATGATCTGCACACAAACCGCTTTATTAAGCTAAAGTTGCTTTGGTGACTATAGTGCTCCTTTAATATAGTGATAATGAGTCAGTGTTGTAGTGGATACAGTATCTATACATAACTGATAGACTCAAGTTTATGTTGTGAATTTAGTATTGTTTCTGTGGATTATATGAGAACATTGTTTTCATTTCTGTTTTACTTTTACCGATTCTTTCCCTTACACTGTTTTTTGTTAAGCTGAATTTCCTTACTGGCTAATTTAGTTAGTAATGTAAGTGAGACATGTGTTTTTTTTTTATTTTCTTAAAACCAAATCAACGACGGCACTACACACTAAATTAATAGATTTCATAGTTAATATAATGTGAATGTATCATGCTATAACCAGCTGTCAATCTCTGAAATTGAAACCTGGTAGAATACAGAGTGTAATTATATGCAATCGTAAGGGAGGCACATACACATGTAGACTAAAAACATCTAAAATGTATTAATATGTAAATAAAAGAACCACATGTGCAGTTAAGGAAAATGGAATATAAAAAAAAACAAAAAAAAAAAACAATTTTAGTGCAATTCACTAGAAAGTAATGCTGCTTCATTAAGGATCTATATTATATGCATACATCAAAACCATTAGAAAAAAAAAACACTATGGGAGAGCTATCAAAGTTTTGTACCTTTCTAGCATTTATTTGGCAATTTTTGTGTGCAGTTGCAGTTGCCAATCCAGTTTATCTGTCTTTTTTTTTTCCATGTTGTGTTTTTTTTTTCACTTCTATCATTTTTTAACAAACAATGCTTTTTTTTAACATTTTTTTAGCAATGGAACAGATTTATCATTCATTCCTTCATTGTCAGAAAAGTGTCCTATTTAACTTCTTTCTGTTACTGTAAATTTTGGCCCCTTTTCCAAAATGAGTGTTTCTGCAAAATACTTTTTGATAAATTTTTAGAACAAATACAATACTAATAAAAACTTTTTAGAATACTTAGATAAATATCACCTTCTGTGTCTTTTGCCATATACCTTTAGAGATATCAGAGTTAGTTAGAAAAGTAAAACAAAATAAAAAAAAACTGTCAAATCAAGCACCCAAGAACCATAATCACTAAAGCTCACTGCAGTGTTTATGGTTCCAGTAATGCCCTATTGCCCCCCATTGTAGACAGTTACTGCTGAGGAACATCCGGCTAACCTGCATTTATAGTGTAGGAAGGGAGCGGTACCCAGCAGATCAAAGGTAATAAGTCAAACCATTAAAAATTGGTTTGCCTACTTAAAATAAGGAAGTGGGTCGGGACTGGGCACCACAACCACTACAGTGAGCTGTAGTGTTTATGGTCCTTGGATTGTTCCTGTATGACATATCATAGTGTTAATAGATGCTTTCTCTTATTTTTATGCTTATTGTATAAATGTAGTGATTGCTGAACAGAGATTCAATATAAATTTGTCATATTGGTGTGCACATAAACACGTGTGGCTTCTGTTTAATACATATCAGAATATTTAGGTTTGGTTTTTACAATTTTATATGTCTATGTTCCACTTTTACGTAATTCTGAAATCACTATAGGCATAGGGCACAAGATACAGAGTGCTTTTTTCTAACCGGTTTCATTGCATGCTTATAATGTAGTGCTTTTTAAAAACCACATTAATCACCATTGAATTGCACAAATATATATTTTTATATACTGCACAAATAGTCTTGGATGGATCTTTGTTAAAGTTTTATTGATATGGTAACACTTTTTAGATGATTTTAGTTTAAATATATATGTGCCTCTCTTACTACTGCATATGCTTAAGATTTTTCAAATGATAAATCCTAGATATATGGAGATATGATTTATGTGTGCTGGCTTTTTATTTCAAATAATCAAATGGCCATTTGTATGCTGAAGGTATAGGTTGGGTGCTAAATGTTGGATGCATTTCTCAGTACTTACCATTAACCATCACATATAATGTAATAGCTGTATAATTTGTCTTGTCTGGTTTATAGACCACACAAATATAAAGTCCTTGGTGTTGTGGTTTGATCTTTTCAACAGACAGCATTCTCTGGTTTGTATTTAATTGTGTTCCATTGAATGTCCACTGGTAGGTGAACGATGTATTAAAGCCACATTCTAAATTAATCACAGAACCAGCATTTAATTGTAACTTCATGATAAGGAATGTGTTTTCGGGACCATCTGTAATATAGAAAAGGAGGTATAACTTGTGTACTCAGACAAAATTTGTCATTGATTTTTGCTGCATAAGTATAAGGAAATATTTGTTGCTGTAAAGATTCCTGTGTGGAACACATCTACATACCTGCATCCTTCTGGCAAGGTTTCTGATACACAATACTGCCATAACACATCCTTATATTCAAGTGTATCTGTTTGTCGTAGATTTGATGAGGTCAACCATGTGTCATTTTGGTGACTATGCACACGTGTATTCTGGGCACACATATTTGAATATTTGTCAGGATAATTCACACATCACCATGAGGCTAATTTCACAGCATGAGATCATGCCCTAATTTAGTGGCGCTGAGGGGGAAGGAAGGGGTTAAACTTACCTCTTTCTCCAGCCCCGAGCGGGGAGCTCTCCGCCTCCTCTCCTCCTCTTCGTCTGAATGCGCATGCGCAACAGGAGCTGCGCGCACATTCAGCCAGTCCATAGGAAAGCATTCACAATGCTTTCCTATGGACGCTGGCGTCTTCTCACTGTGAAAATCACAGTGAGAAGCGCTGAAGCCCTCTAGCGGCTGTCAATGAGACAGCCACTAGAGGCTGGATTAACCCATTTATAAACATAGCAGTTTCTCTGAAACTGCTATGTTTATAGAAAAAAGGGTTAACCCTAGCTGGACCAGGCACCCAGACCACTTCATTAAGCTGAAGTGGTCTGTGTGCCTATAGTGGTCCTTTAAGAAAAAGGGCAAATGAGTCATTTGTAACATGTGAGTTTACAGAGGAAGAGGTTCTATTTCAACTGTCAAAAGTAAAGACAAATAAGTCGATGGGGCCTGATGGGACACACCCAAAGTTATTACAATAAATTAGTGGTGTACTAGTCATTTACCAATTTATTTAAGCAATCATTGTTAACAGGATAGTCCCAGAAGACTGGAAATTAGAAAATGTTGTACCCATTCACAAGACAGGTAGAAGAAAGGATTCTGGCAATTATAGGCCAGTAAGTCTTACTTTAGTAGTGGGGAAAGTGATGGAACCATGATAAAGGATAGGATTGTTAAACATCTAAAATCACATGGATTTCAAAATCAGAGACATGGGTTTACTTCAGGGAGATCATACCAAACTAATCTTATTGATTTAGGAGTAATTATTTCAGACGACTTAAAGGTAGGCAGACAATGTAATAGAGCAGCAGGAAATGCTAGCAGAATGCTTGGTTGTATAGGGAGAGGCATTAGCAATAGAAAGAGAGAATTGTACATGAGACCTCACTTGGAGTATTGTACACAGTACTGGAGACCGTATCTTCAGAAGGATATTGATACTTTGGAAAGAGTTCAGAGAAGGGCTACTAAACTGGTTCATGGATTGCAGGATAAAAATTACCAGGAAATGTTAAATAATTGTACATGTATAGTCTGGAGGAAAGACAAGACAGGGGGATGTGATAGAATCATATAAATACATAATGGGAACCAACAGAGTAAAGGAGGAGACTATATTTAAAAGAAGAAAAACTACCACAACAAGAGGGCATAGTCTTAAATTAGAGGGACAAAGGTTTAAAAATAACATCAGAAAGTATTACTTTACATAGAGAGTAGTGGACGCATGGAGTAGCCTTCCAGCTGCAGTGAGGGAGCTCAAGCATGCGTGAGATAGGCATAAGGCTATCCTAGACTTAAGATAAGGCCAGGGACTAATGAAAGTATTTCAAAAATTGGGCAGAATGGATGGGTCGAATGGTTCTTATTTGCTGTCACATTCTATGCTTCTATCGTCTCTCGTTCCTAATTGCCTCAAAGGATGCTATTAAGAATAGAATCTGTGCATATGGGGATATTTTAGTGGTTCTAAAGGAGTATTCAATTAGAGTCTGTTTCTATGCAGTCCTGTTTTCCTCATGACAAGATTGAGCGCATCCTGATAATTATTGACCTGTACCTGTTGGGTTCTTGCAATCACAAAGATTTATAGATTTACTCTTCTTGGTTTGCTCAGTTTATGCCATGAGGATCATCCCACAAGGTAGATATTTTATTTCCTGACTCCTCAGTTTGTTCCTTCAGATAATAGCCACATTAGACTAGACCCACATGCGGCTTCTGACTTACTAATGTGGCACACCTTTCTTACTACATGGAATGGGAAGTCCATGTTTATCCCTCCAATATCTGACAATTCCCCTACCCTCTGGACAAATGCAGCTGGTAATACTGATTTCACAGCCATCTGTGGCAATCAGTGGCTCTGGGCCCACAGAAGTCTACAGAGGTCAGGTTCATACCAGGTATCTACAAGACATCGGCCTATTCAAATTGTACCCCATAGTGGCAGCAGAAATTGCTTGGGGTACTTGCTGGGCAGGTCACTTGTTAGATGCTTTTCTGATAACCAAGCTACCTGCCACATTATAAACAAAGGTCAGTCATCTTTGATCATTATGCGGTTCTTAAGGAGACTTACTTGGGTAGTGGCTTCTAACCAAATTTTCCTCACTTGAATCCATGTCCTTGGTATTGTCTCTGCTGATCACCTGTCTCATTTCCATTTACAGGCATTTCACACAACTCTATCTACTGCTTCCTGTTTGGCTACTCCTGCCCCTCCGTTCCAAGACATGTTAATGGATTAAATGTTTTGTTGTCACACGCACAGAATCTCACCCACCTTGCACTCTCCGTTAACACCAGGAAATTTATATGACAGGGCATTTCACATTTTCAATAAGTTCATAGCAGATTACCGAATTTTAGATAAATTTGCTGTGGAGTCTTTAATAGGTTTCACCTCCTTTTGCCACCTCAATTTAAAATTATCTTTCAACACCATTAAACTCTGCTTAACGGGCATTCAACATCACATGCTGATACAATACCCAAATAAAATACAATTCTTATCGTCCTATCAGATTAAAACCTTAAAGGAATCCAGAAATCTATCGACCTATAACTCTCAAAAAGACTACCCATCCACAGTAAATTGTTTTGAAGTGTTGAACCTCTCACTAATATGGTGGTTAAAACTGCTATATCTCTGAATTTTTGCAGATTTCTACAGCCAAGAGATTTCACCGCCATCAACCTCACATCCACAGGATACCTTAAAAGTATCCACAAATCACAAGATCACTACATTCTTTCACTTCCTCACTCCAAAACTAGCTAGATGGGGAATACGGTTGACATACTATACTACCCTACACATAACAAACGGTGCTCAGTAAAAGTGATGGACACATATTTTATCACAGCCCAAAAACAACCACACCAACCATTATTGGAATTACATGGTTCCATACTCACCACCGCCAAGTTTATGCTCTCTGTCCATATGTTATTAACAAGACTTGGCCTTAACTCAACTTGCTACTCAGGTCACTCATTTCATATAGGAGCAGCATCATCTGCATCCAGCAATAATATTCCATCACATATAATCAAAGCTCTGGGATGCTGGAAATAATCCACTTATGCAATATGTACCCCGGCTGGGTACCTCCACCAAAGGACCGCTTCCTTGCTGGAACAGGGGAAAAACCCAGCACTTCTGCCCCCAGTCGCCATAGCTTGACTGGGGTCCTGGAACCTCTCCGTCCTGGAGCTAAATAGGGGGCTTGTTCTATCCACTCCCAGGCACTGGATGACACACAGTCCTGGGAGCTGTAGTCCTTACAAGGACTTTCTTCCAGCGTGGAGGATTCAACGGGGAAGCTGGAGTAGTGATTATCCCTTTCCCTTCCCAGTAACAAGGCAACACATAGTTCTGGGAGTACAAGCTGGAATGCCTTAATCTGGTCAGATGGCCTGCTTTTATATATTTATGGACACAGTCAAACACACACATGACACTCCCACACAAAACAGGATAATCCCTCCCCCTGTGCCTGGGAGATAATTGGGTCAGGAACTGTACAAACTCAATTATCTCCAGGTACAGAAAAACTGAATTTTACAAATACCCCAAAAGTACTTTCAAACTCACAAAACCCCCACAATAGTTACATCCCCTGATAGCCCCGATCTGGGTGACCAACATATCTAAAAATCACCCAGATCGGTTCAGAGGTTCGAGATTTTTCATGGTCAATTATTTGACTGACCGACCGCACACATGGTCCTATGGCCAAAACGGTCGGTCAACTTTGGTAACATAAAAATGAACGTAGTCTCGATTCTACCGAACAGTGTTCTTCTAGGATCTACTGAACCGAACGCAGGAGATGATGGAAGTCCAGCGGTGTTCAGGAGTTTCAGTGTCTGAAAATAGTTCCATGAATTCGACGACCAAACACCGCTGCCTGCGTTCTTGCGAACAAGATGGCCGCCACCTCATGGTCGTTCATATGAATTGCGTCCATACGAACGATTAGAACACTGAGGTGAGAACCGTTCCAAAGTGTTAATAGGGATTAAGAAGCTCCAGGGTGATCTCTGGTTCGTGCGGTTGTTTCGGTACCGAACGGTATAGGAAAATTGCACCAGGCCATTTAAACAGTCTTTTACAGGTTTGCCTGCAGGGCCCATAGTCTATGGGCAGGAGGCTGGCAAGCAGGTTCCTCCAGGAGCTCATGGCAAACTCACGTGGGAAGGGGTGTTTGTCACACAATATATATACCTAAACTGGTACAAGAGATGTGTCAAGCATTTCTTGATTTGTCCAAGTAATAATAATGTTGTATTGTAAAAATTAATAAATGTATTTGTATGGTACACTTTCTTATTGCCCTCTTTATTACAGGCCTACTGCTTTGTCGGTTCCAGCGCACCACAACTGACTGGTGTTATTGACTATTGTATTACAACTATTCATGTTTTAACTTCTTTCATTACGGCAATAATGCCACAAACATAAATTTAAAGGCTGGGCCTGTAGCTGTGGGAGGGGCTTGGTTCCCATTTTAAGGGCCACCAATCCTCTCTCCCCTACCGTTGTTGGTCTGGCGAGTTGTCCCTCCTCCCACTCCCTCTTTTCAAATCATCCTGTTGGGTCCTCTTTATTACAGACCTACTGCATTGCTGGTTCTGACACATTACAATTTTATAACATGACGGGAGGCTTCATATTTGCTTAAGTCTCTCTTTACTAGAACTCCACAGCAGCACAGAGAAAAACAACCAATCAGAAAAAAGTTAGGTACTATAAAACTCCCTTCCCCATACATCATTTCCTCTTTTTTTTGCTGCTCCACATCAGTACAGGTCAAAGTACCACTGCCTCCTGCTTCTAGTTGGTGGCTTTGGGATTTAATTGCTTATATTCAGTATTTTATGTTTAGTCTGTCTGGGGATTTGCTAATTTTCTGCTTTCATTGATTTCTTATCTTTTGGATTCAGGGGGGTCTTTGTGGGCCTTTCTGCCACTTACTATGGCCTTGGTTCCCCATCTCCCCGATATTTTCCCTCCATTTTTATATTGTCTGCCCTTTCCTATTTCAGGCAGTGTATGTGCCGCTCGGGGGTTTGCTGGAGGCTGACAGCGAGCATGCCGCCTCTGACTCCCCGAGCTCCGGGACCGCAGAGTCACCTCCAGGATCTACTACCTGACATTAGATATCAACCTGTGATGTAATCGCTGTGATGTTAGATGACACCCTGTGGTGTCATGTCCTGTGATGTTAGATAGCATTACATGTCTTGTGATATAATTTCTCTGACGTTATATATATCATCCTGTGATATCATGTCCTGTGATGTAATCCCTGTGACTTTGCGACACATCCTGTATGTCATGTCTTGTGATGTGATCCCTGTAACTATATATAACATCCTGTTATGTCATGTCCTGTGAGGTAATCCCTGGTGGTGGTCCGTGGAACACGATTTGGATATAGAGGACCCTCCTTCTTTACACTAGTTCCCTCAGGAGAGCCGTTCTGGGTTTTGATTTGCACTCATCCACCTATTCAGTGACTCTTAAGGAGGACTATTCGGACTCTATGGGGGAACCCTGTTTGACGTTGAATCCCACACGGATGTCACAAGGTTGGGACGCACCCTCCCACTGGAATACTTACTAGGAACAGTGTCGGGTTCGAATCTGACTACTCAATGTTCTCAACCTGGACAGCCCCTGCTTTGGACGGTGGAAGCTATATCTATGCTTGGGAGTCAGCGGTCACTAACGAGGGGAATTTTTTCATTTTATCTACGTATTAGAGAACACTATGAGATCACGGGTCGCTAGGCGAAGATGGGAGATATTTCTTTATAGGGATGCCTAGACTTCAAGCCTCGATTGCAAAAACCTGGGTTCCTTGACCTATGATCCATTCTTGGAGATAGCATGTCCTCACAGTTAAGGATACAGAGTCTTTGATGCCCCCCTTTCTTAGACCCTATCTTGGGTGTGATGTGCATACCATAAGTCCCTCCACAGGCTTTTGGCAGGACTGAACTGGAATGGGATCGTACAAGTAGTTATTCGGATTATTTCACTATCTCCCTAATCAGTCGACAGTCTCAAGGATGGAGATACTGATCCAGACCCACTCACCAGGACCGATTCAGTTTTTCTCCAAACTGCCTACTTTTCTAACCGATTTTGACTCCTTTGCAGTCCGCACGACTACAGCACATGTCGACTCTTCTTCGTCTATGCAGGCCCCAATTACCCGTTGGTTCCGGACCACCTTTTCACTCCTCAACGTGGATACATTTAGATGGAATTCTCAACTACTGGTTACGTGCCCCTCATTTTGGTATTTCTGGGGTCGAACACTATTTTGCTACACAAATTCAGTTTGGAACCCTGATAGGACGTCCCTTGAGAGTACATGGCCTACCAAAGTCGCAGGTTTCACAGTCCAATTGGAGTACTGGAAACACTTAGTAGACGACTGGTTTGGCCTGCACTCTTACCAGCATAGTTGTTTCAACCCTGGATGAGATCACTCGACTGGTAGATCAGGAGGGAATGAAAATACCCTATTCCGTTCTGTGACGGAATTGGTGATGGTCTCAGGTGCCTTACTGGAGGTTGGAGTTTGCCGGCAAGACCACATTTTCAGGTGACCCTGACACGATCGGAGGAGCCATCTTACACAATGAGGGTCGACACCTGGTGGCAGTTTTTTCTCGCAGTTCTAAGTCCGCAAATGATCTTTGGAATTTTGCATCCGCAGGAATATGGTTAATAGATCGACTTTACAGGTCATGGATAGTCACATCCCCATGTACGGTCTACCAGCGGATTGAGTTTTCCGTAATTAGCGGTAAAGCGTCAGCAGGCATCTTCATCGACCCATCTGCTGTCACTTCCCGCAATTGGAAGGCCCATTTGGGTTTTGCTCTGTTTTTTTTTCCCCAGAATAGGTACCAGCGAAACAAACATTGTTGGATTTGTTGACTGAGCGTTAAAACAGCAAATATGAAGCCTCCTGTCATGTTATAAAATTGTAGATTATGCTAGCTTTAGTGTACCTATAATCTTAATTTTATTAATGACAGGAGGAAAATATTTCCCTCCCATTCTTATCCCTCCCTTGTTTAACTTTAATAGTTTGGGTTTATCAGGTAGGTATGCAACTCTGCTTGTTGTCTCTGCTACCTGTCACGTGTTCTTATGTCTGTTTTTTCTAAATAAGGATGGGATCTATGCATATTATATTTAATTTCATTGGCTAACCAACCTGTTCGATTCTGTTTTCTCTCCTTTCAGTTTTTGGTCTCATGTGGTCCATTTTCTGTGGGTGCCAATGTGCCTATGTTGTCAATGTTGAGCATCAGGATTATGTGAGCCTGCGTCTGATAATGTGTTTGAGGGGCCAAGTATCGTTAGTTTGCCGTCTTGTGTGTCACAGTGTGGAGCTATATGTGTCACTGGTCGGGTAAGCCGTGTGTAGTCTGTAGGTCGTGTAGCCTGAATGTGGGGTTAGGTAAGTAATGGTTGAGTCCATGGTATGGACCGTTCTGCCCGTTGGTTCTCCGTTTATCTCTGTTGGCGTGTTCTATGTCAGGTCCCAGTGTTCTTAGGTTCCCTGCTCGGCATATTCATGGTCTGCCAGAATGCCGTGGGGTCCTCCGCAGATGACAAGGTAACTGTCTCATTCCCCCTTTGGATGTTCAGCGATCCATCTTATCCCCATCGGTAGCGGTCCTCAGCCTCTCTCAGTCTTTTGGCCACAGGCGCCAGCTGTCTCCTCGACACTAGCGCTCTGAAGGGAATGTCCCCATATATATCGTCACACAGCAGCCCTCTAGTCTGACCGTCTTGAGCTCTCTGGATCTGTTGAGGATGGCGGTCCTCACCGCTATATCTCTGTTGATGACTATTGCGTCTCTCGGCGGTCCCGGAGGCGCGGCCGCCGCCTTGCGTACTTTGAACGCTGAGACCACCATCCCTTTGGTGTCTTTTTAGGCCCAGCGAGGCCACCAGTCTCTGGGTGAAGGGTAACAGGGCTTCGTCACTCACTGTTTGAAGGGATTCCCCGCATGCATACGTTTTTGCGCCTGTGGCGGCACTCCAGTGTGGTCACTGACCTGGCGAGTTCCACACTTGTGTGGCCAGGTCATCTATTTGGTTGTGGGTGTCCTGCATCTGGCTCTCCCTGGAGAGCTGGTGCGTTGTCTTCTGGTTCAGGGGAGGTGAGTATGTCTCCCTCCTCGTGGGATGCCTCCTCTGCTCCCCGGGCAGTGGGGCACCATTTTGGCGGCTGAAGGGAGAGCCTGATATCTTACAGTCTCAGGATCTCCAGCGGCTGGTTCTTTCTATTTTTGCGCCCCATGGTAGTCTCTGTTGGAGGGTGAGTGGGTATGTCACCTGTGGGGTCTCTATGTTGCTGATGTTCAATTATATTTAGCTTCTCTCTCCAAAATATATATTTTTTAAGAAGGGAATGGTCAAGTTAAATTCCCCACTGCCCTTAAAAACAACAACATATTATTGATCTTCCAATTACAGTTCCATATTCAGCATATAAACACAGTATCACATAAACCCATACTAACAGGAAAATAGTTTAGAATTACTTACAATATACATCCAATGTGACGGCGTCACTGATAGTTTTACTGACAGGATTTTCTGCAATACACCAATATCGATTTGCATCAGCACGCTTAATCCCAATAAAGGTTATACTATATTTATCATATTTGACATTAGAGGAGAGACGGGATGTATTATTCCAAATGATTGTTTGTGCATTGTCGACTTCACATGTCAAGGAGATTACAGAATTTTCCCGGGGCAGTTGCTTGGATGCTCGTATCACTGGCTTTCTTAAGTACTCTGTAGATAAATCAGTAGTGATGTTGTCAATTATATCAACATATTAAATCAAGGGTTCACATTAAATGCATGATAAATTGCTATAAAACGTTGGACACAATAATAATGTATTTTACAAGAACATAAGACAGAATCTGGAACCTCTGATTGAAAGAGGCCATGCATTTAGGGCCAACCTTAGGCCTTCAGGTGGCCTGTGCAAAACATAGGAGTGATGCTTCCATCTAATGTGGTCATGCTTAGCCATGCCTTTTAGTTATAAATTGAAATTCTCAAACACCTTTATAGAATAGGTTGAGCAAATTATTGTGAAATATAATTTTCATAGTGATCAGCCAGTCTTGAGCATTATGGAAATTGTATATCATATATACCTCTTTAGGAGCAACCTTACTCAAATTTATATATCTCACAAGCGTCTATGTGTGTCTCCTAGGACCGCCATCAGAAATTTTGGGGCTCCTAACCCAGCTCAAGGTGTGACCTCCGGGGGCCCACCTCCAAGTCCACCCCTGAAGGGCCCACCTCCAAATCCCGCCCACAGAAATACACACACAGACACAAACACACGCACTGATACAAAAAGGACACAGATATACACACAAAGATACACACATACTGATACACACATACTGAAACAAACACACACACATATAGGCATACATACTGATACAGACACACAGAAACGCATAATACATACAAACACACATACATACTGACACATATACAGACACAAATACATACACAATAGCCTGATCGCAGTATTATTTGGCCGCAGTACTGGCCTAAATGCTTGGGCCACCTGATGGGCCCCATCAGCGAGCAGGCCCAGCTGCACCAGTGGCAGCCCCGCCACTACACTTGGTGCCCTGGCCCACCGGGCCCCCCAGGACCACCAAGCCTGTGACAACTGTCATGGATGTCACCCCCTGATGGCGGCCCTGCTTCTAGCTGCTGTGCTCCCTTATGTGTCTCTACCTAGCCTTAATAGATTTCTCTCTGTCACTGACCTGGAATGCCAATCAGGAGTTGGAACACAATAACAGCAAGACTCACCTGGAGGTGAGGACGGGATCCAAGGAGCGTTGAGGTGAAAAGGAACTTTATTAGTTATATGAAGAAAAAATAAACAAAGTAAAGTAAGGTCCACAAGAGGAGAGGGCAAAAGGGAGGTTAGACAGTGATGTCAGGGCAGGCAGCAATGGTTCATAAACAAATAAACATAGCCAAGTCCAAGTATCCAGAAGATCCAATGACATTGGGATCAGACTAGGACCAGGTTGCAGGTGAAGGGATCAGGAGTAGTAGTAGGAGCAGAACAAGGAAAGCTAGTGGTGCAAAGAAGGTAAGGGCCAAGGCCCTTGTGGAACCCTTCTAGTACCAGTTTGCCACTTTAGCCCTATTGTTCCTCTCTCGATACCTCACCTTGTATTGCCTATCTTCCACTGTTTATCCAGTATTCCTCTCCCGTTACTGATTTGTCTCTCTTTATCACCCAGTTCGCTTCTTTCTAGAGCCTACTTTTATTCCTAGCTCCCAGTTTGTATTTTTTTATGTCCTCATCTATATTATGCATCAAAAAGAACACAAAAAAAAGGGGCTGCGCCACATAAAAATTATGGTAACATGAAATGGTAATGTTATGGGCAAATGCAAATATTGTATTTCTCAAACTGTGTACTTTGTCTTTAAGAGATATTGCAAACTGACAAGGTGTTAGAAATGGAACATTGTTTTTCATGCAATACACTTTTACCTACTTCAGTACATAATATGTTTATGCCATGTTGTCCCAGACAAAATACAATAACAATAATGCATAAACAAGCTTCAAGGCTATGCTACGACTCTTTCAGTACATAATATACTGCAGTAACACATTTCCAACAATCCCACAATGCATTGCAATCCCTCCTCTCTGTCCTGGAGATAATTGGGAAGTAATCCAATTATCTCCAAGGACAGAGGAAAAAACTCCATTACACACATTTTCAGTAAAAAGACATAAAATCACACAAAACGTACACATTCTACATATCCCCAGATAGCTTAGATCTGAGCGCACATTACTACCGAATGGTGCTCAGATCACACCCCCACCTTAATCTGGCACAGGGTAAAACCAGATTGTTCTATTTTTGTTTATGCATATATGTATGGTTAATATATCTCACTTCTCAACCTATCTCTTTCTTACTTCTCCTTATTATGTGTATTGATCTTCAATCTCAGTTCTCGGCCTGGATGCCGTCCGCGCTCCGGACCTCACCCACGCTACAGCCCGACGTATCTTAAGGGAAGCACGTGAACCCAACACCTTTGCCATGTCAGCGACACTACATACATCACCTCATGGCTCTTAAGGTACTGTCACTTAATGTCAAGGGACTAAACTCCCCAAAGAAACGAAGACCGCTAGCGAGGGACAAAAATGCCAAAAAAAAAATAGATATCGCACTACTACAGGAGACACACCTCCCCAGGTCGGCACCAACCAGACTTACCGACAGAACTTACCCGACGGTACATGAAGCACATACAATACGCAAGCGATCGGGGGTGGCGATTCTCATACATAAAAATTGCCCACTACAAATCACAACCACCCACGCTGACCCGGAGGGTAGGTTCATCTACATAGAGGGCACTTTATACTTTTTACTTTATGGGGTAGGGATGGATAAGTCCCTCCACACAGACATTAACAGCATCACATGGTCGGACCACGCAGGCATAAGTCACCTTACGAAACTACAATACCAATAGAGTTGAGCGAACTCGAACTAAAAAGTTCGGAATCGTGCCTAACACTACGTTTTTTGGACCCCCGACCCGAACACAGACATATCACTGTATGTTGGAGTTTGGAGTTTGGCAATTTAATGACGCGTTTTGAAAGGCTGCAGGGTAGCCAATCAACAAGTTTTTGACTCGTGTGCCCTTAGAAGCCGTCACAGCCATGCCTACTAATGGCAGTACCCACAATTTCCAGCACAGTATGATGTATCAGTATGATGTGAAAGAATCAAAATAGGATCAGCGCTAATAATACCACAAATAAAAGTATATGTAGTAGTGTAAAGGCAGCACACCTAAAAGGGGAAGTACCCTCCTATCCCCTACAATAAATTAGAACATAAAAAACAGAGAGAAAGGGCGCGCCTTTAATACAGTGTGTATCAGAGAGGAATACACACAATAATATATAGTTAAAAGTAAGAATAAATGATAAATAATACAATATATAAAAAATTATTAATAAAATATAAAAATTACGAGTCCAAGGTAATAGTCCACAGTAAACAAAGAAAATTCTTGTATATAAAAGGTTCAATAAAAGGTTCTTCCCAATGGAGACTTGTATTCTCAATAAGCCATATGTGGAGAGAAATGGAGAGAAGATCCAATGGTGCAGTATGTCAATATAAATATATATATATATATATATATATATATATATATATTGTGATAACGTGAAGGCAGATAGGCCTTTTAACCCCAGGGGAAGTATGTGTAGTTTCTGTGTTGCACAACACAAAGCTTTGCTTAGTTATGGGCCCCTGGGGTGGAGCATTTGGAGAGAAGGGTGGGCCAATGCTCCACTCCACAGTTTAGTGGTTTTCTGGGGAGACATAGATCCAGGCCAGGGTTTTTTGGATCGTCTCCAACCCACTGCTCAGCTGCAGTTAATGAGCTATTGCAGTGGAAATAAACTCCTCCCTGCTAGGCAGGTGGAGGAGAGGGATTGCTGGCTTCCTCCCAGGAAGCAGGTAGGAGAGAGAGAGAGGCTGTTCTCTCCAGATAGTCAAGGAGACTAGGCACCTGGAGTGCAGAAAGGTAGCAGTCAGGGCAAGGCTGGCTTGGAGCACTGGGAGTGCAGAAAGGAAAGCAGTCAGGGCAAGGCTGGCTTGGAGCACTGGGAGTGCAGAAAGGAAAGCTACATGCTAGTTAGCAGAGTGTTGCTTTCTAATAAGGTTGGTACAATATTGTTTTGTTTAGTTTAACCCTGAGAGATAGGGAACCTAAAGTGAGTCAGTGCTCAGACGAGCTAGGTTTTTGTTTAAAGGGAAACCTGTTATATTTATGTTTTTTTCATTTACTGCTGTATCCTGTGTGGATTTGCAAAATAAAGTGCCTGGAGTATATGAATTACAAGGACTGTGCATGTTTTTGCCCTAGAGGACCGTGCTACCTGCTGACAAGGATCACAATATATATATATATATATATATATATATATATATATATATATATAAATAATAGTATAATGTACTCACAATTACCAGAGCTAAAATCCAGCTCTGGTATGAAGCGCGTGAAGTGGATTGATCCCCACTCAAGGATATATGGAGTAGTAATTCACCAGGAGTTCCAACCGGAAATAAAGAGGGATAAAAATATATAGTGCTCACTGAATAACTGTAATGTAGATAAAAGAAAAGTATGAAATGTACTCACAATATACTCCATATATCCGGACATATTGAGCGCTCAGATCCAAGTTATCTGGGGATATGTTGGACATAGGTATTAAAGGAGTTATGTATTTTTATGTGATTTTTGTGTAGTTTTTGACTTAGAGATATTTCCTGTACCTGGAGATAATTAAGTTACCACAGCCACTTAAGCCAATTATCTCCAGGATAGAGGGGAGGGTGTAGAAACATCCACTTTGTTTTGATTGGTTAATGTTCCTTTTGTTGCTGTGTTCCATCAGGTCCAGGGGGTGTGCCTCAGGCCTGAAAATGTGTATATTAGAAATGCAAGTTGCTCATTAAACCAGTTCTACTTGACCCTATACTCGCAGCCTTGACTCGTGTTTGGAGGGGACAGCTATAATCACTACAGGGATTGCTATGCTCTTTATACTCCCTTAGCTTCACTGAGCTCTTGTAAGAGCTTGTTCCTGCTTCGCTCTCTGAGAGGAAGAGAGGTTCATCCACTGGAACCTGGAGCCTTGTTGTAGGTCCAGCGGCGAGACCCCAACCCAGCTGTGGCAGTTCGTGGGGTCTGCGGTGGTTATGGTGTCTTGTGCGGTACCTGATGGTCCTTTGTGAGCGCTAGGAGCATCCTTTCTACGGTCCAACCCTCAGTTAGCCTGGTGCAACAGTAACAGGTACATACTGAAAAATGTACCTTTCTAATATTTGTTTGAATAGTTTCCATTTATCCTCAGTGTTTTTTTTCACTAAGGAGTTTATGCCAGTCGATATGTTGTAGAGCTGCCCTAATCTTATTAAAATTGGCTTTTTTTAAATTATATGTTTTAGTATACCCCACGTGCTTTTGCTTTTTTGAGTTTATTAAAAAAAAAGAAATTACCATATTGTGATCTCTATTTCCCAAATGCTCCCCTACTTGAATGTTGGTCAAAAGATCAACATTGTTTGTTATGAGATCCAGACAAGCATCCTTTCTAGTTGGTGCTTGTACCAGTTGTGACATAAAGGTGTCATTTAACACATTCAAAAACCTGATTCTCCTTGCTGAAGTACTAGTCACTCTATCCCAATTTATGTCCGGGTAATTAAAATCTCCAATAATTAACGCGTTACCCAATTTGCAGCTTTACCAATTTGCTCTAGCAGCTGTTTTTCCTAATTAGTATTTACATTAGGTGGTTTATAACATATCACAATCAATAACTGATTTCCCTTCGTTTGCCCCAAGCAGATATCTACCCATAAAGTTTCCACATTTTCCACAAGATTTGACTTTAACTCATGGTTGACATTTTAACATACCCCACCACCCTTCTTGTTTTTCCTATCCTTCCTAAATAACATGTACCCATTTAAGTTAACTGCCCAGTCTTGTCTCATCCCACCATGTTTCTGTTATGCCTATTATATCATATTGTTTAGTGTATGCTATTGCCTCTAGTTCCCCCATTTTGTTATATAGGCTCCTTGCATTAGTAAGCATACATTTAATATTATCATGAGTCATTTGTACTTTTTGTGAATTTTCATCAATATTACATACCTCCTCTGTTCTGAGCTCTCTCCTCCCCCATCTCCACCACCCTTATTATATTTCTAATAAATTTAAAAGTCAATGTATCTTTACATAATTGAACCATGATAGTTAAAGATCAAATGATTATTATAATAACAACTGCAATAATGAATAATGTTTAAACTTTTGAAGAAAATGTAAAATGTGTTTATTAAATCAGAAACTACTCTATATTCGTTTAAGTTTGCAAAGTGGTATGATTAATATAATCTAATTAATATAAGTGAAGCACTTCAACAGTTAAAATTTAACTTAAAGACAGGCAGAAACGTTACTTCAGTCTGCCAGAGCCAAGGTCAGTCAATGGAAGGTAAAAGAGTATTTTGGATAAACCCTTTCAAGTGATATACATGATACATTTAGATATTGATAACTAAGGTCACCTATTGCAAACAGGTGAAAATATGTCAAGGATCTAAATTCAACATCCATACCGCTATGTGTAATATATATATATATATATAATAAAATATTTGATCACATGTATTTTAATAATCTGTTTTTCAAATACCAAGAAAATGTTATTTGTTTTTTGATTAAAGGTACACATACTTTGTGGTAATGATCCTGCCACATCAATTGAATGTTTAATCAATACATCATACATATGATTATTAATTCATATTCTGATAACATATCCCCCACTTCAACCAGTTACAAATGTTCTATTTAGAACGTAAAAAATGGGAATGTTTAAAACTGAGCTGTACCACAGTATTTGTCGGTTATATTTGACTCCCAGATATGAAGTGCAGGCCCCAAATGTTCTATTTAACAACTAAACTATTTGAATGCTTAAAACTTCGCTGTAACCACAGTATTTGATGGTTCTATTTGACTCTCATATATAAAGTGCAGGCCCCAAATGTTCTATTTAGCACCTAAAAAATGTGAATGTTTAAAACCGCGCTGTAACCACAGTATTTGAAGGTTCGTTTTTACTCTCAGATATGAAGTGCATCGCAGGCCCCAAATGTTCTATTTAGCAACTAAACTATTTGAATTTTTACAAGTGCGCTGTAACCACAGTATTTGACTGTTCTATTTGAATCTCAGATATAAAGTGCACCGCAGGCCCTAAATGTTCTATTTAGCAACTAAATTATTTGAATTTTTACAAGTGCGCTGTAACCACAGTATTTGACGGTTCTATTTGACTCGCAGATATGAAGTGCATGCCCCAAATGTTCTATTTAGTAACTAAACCATTTTAATTTTTTAAACTGCGCTGTAACCACAGTATTTGACGGTTCCATTTGACTCTCAGATATGAAGTGCACTGCAGGCCCCAACTGTTCTATTTAGCAACTTAATTATTGGAATTTTTAAAACTGCGCTGTAACCACAGTATTTGACGGTTCTATTTGACTCTCAGATATGAAGTGCAGGCCCCAAATGTTCTTTTTAGAACGTAAAAAATGTGAATGTTTAAAACTGTGCTGTAACCACAGTATTTGTTGGTTCTCTTTGATTCTCAGATATGAAGTGCAGGCCCCAAATGTTCTATTTAGCAACTAAACTATTTGAATGCTTAAAACATTTGGGGCCTGCGATGCACTTCATATCTGAGAGTCAAACAGAACCATCAAATACTGTGGTTACAGCAAAGTTTTAAGCATTCAAATAGTTTAGTTGCTAAATAGAACATTTGGGGCCTGCACTTCATATTTGAGAGTCAAATGGAACCGTCAAATACTGTGGTTACAGCGCACTTGTAAAAATTCAAATAGTTTAGTTGCTAAAAAGAACATTTGGGGCCTGCACTTCATATCTGAGAGTCAAATACTATGGTTACAGCGCAGTTTTAAACATTTACATTTTTTTAGATGCTAAATAGAACATTTGGGGCCTGCGGTGCACTTCATATCTAAGAGTCAAATAGAACCGTCAAATACTGTGGTTACAGTGCAGTTTTAAACAATCAAATTCTTTAGGTGCTAAATAGAACATTTGGGACCTGCACTTCATATCTGAGAGTCAAATAGAACCGTCAAATACTGCTGTGACATAGCAGTTTTAAAAATTCAAAATTTTTTGATGCTAAAGTTAAAAACCAAACACCAAAACAACGTGCCAGACAATCTACCTGTGCATGGCTAGTGTGATACAATAAATCTACATGTTAAAAATGCAATAACCCACAGAAGATGGGCGAGAATTTTCTTTTTGCAAATGGAACTTTGTTCCGAATTTACTACATCGGTTACTTGTAATATTGTTTCACACATACAACACTTGTTAAACAGATCTAAATGATAGAAAACAGATTGATATTTTCTACACTAGAAACTACCAGATAAGAAACTGCTATATTTAAACCAGTTATCAATAGCTAAGAGGTACTTAAACAATATTGTAAGTCTGGGGAAATACCCTCACAAGTCAAACTGAGAGGTCAGGTTATAGGGAAAACTGTTGCCTGGATACAATTCTCAAAAAATTTCCATATGTTCTTGGCAGACTTTACATGCTGGAAAACACAGGTGCCAACTGATGTGGCTTTCTGCAGTGTGCAGACCAGCAAGGAGGGCAGGGTTGAGGAGTGGGTGGAAGATGATGTGGAGGAAGATGAGGTCCTAGACCCCACATGGAATGAAGGTCACGCGAGTGACGTGTGCAGTTTGGAGTAAGAGGCACTGGTCGCACAGAGGCACCAGCACAGCATAAGAGGGAGCAGAGTGCAAAAGCGGAGCGGCCGTCCCCTAGTGCTCGTCTGCATGTATTATCTCTAGAATTACCACAGTTAATCAAGTAACAAAAAGAACCATAACAGATTTAACGAGCCATTCGCAGTTTCACAGTTAGGGTGGCAGTCCGGTGACCGGGACCCAGACACTATCTGGGCGGCGGTCGGACGACTCACAGTGTGTTAGGAGTCACAGTGTGGAAGGGATTAGCAGGGTCTGGTGCATTGTAACCGCATGCTCCCTGGTGTTGAGCACCAGCATTTGTGCGGCCACATACCAGGACCCTGGTGCAGCTTCAGCGAGCAGCAGCAGGTGATAGTGGAGTTTCAGCTGCAGCATGCACGTTCAGTCGCTCTGCACCAGACTTGCCCTCCAATTTATCCAAGTTAAAGGATTTAAAGTGGACTCATTACAATTACAGGGCCTCGAAAGAGTAGTGTATTGTTATTTGTCGTCACTACCTCCCCGCATCGGGAGTGGGTAATTTGCGCGCCTGCTGCCTTCCTTAGATGTGGTAGCCGTTTCTCAGGCTCCCTCTCCAGAATCGAACCCTGATTCCCCGTTACCCGTGGTCACCATGGTAGGCGCAGAAAGTGGCATCGAAAGTTGATAGGGCAGACATCCGAATGCGTCATTGCCGTCACAGGGAAGTGTGATTGGCCCGAAGTTCTCTAGAGTCACCAAAGTGCCTGCGCAACTATAATGTTGACAGCTACTCTGTCGAACGGATCTTCACTAATAGGTAGGGGATGGAGGGGGGCCCTGTGCCGGTCCCTTCTCTTCCCCACTCTCTGGCAGACATCTGGCAGTACTGCCTCAGATCCTGAGAGATGCCTTGTCAGAAGAAGCTGTGGGTGGGCCGAGACGCTGTCCGGCTCCTGCCCAAATGCCCTGCCAAGGGGATATCATGAGCTAGCTTCAGCAGCTCATACCAATACTTCTTGGGTCTGGGGCTCGCGGTCTCTCACCAGCCGTGTCGATGGGGAGCCCATTAAGAAATTAGGGCGAACCGGCCCGAGGGGCTCTAGGATGGAGTGACCAGCAGGAGGTGGGTGCACGGTGCTCCCTCCTGCCAGGCACTCTGTGTAGCGTGGCCTAGAGAAGCAGTGCGTGCCACAGTACAGGATGTTTCCTGTACCCGGTCGTAGTGAAAGGAAGTGCTCACTGAGTGAGCACTTCCTGTCAGTCCGGCTAGGTACAGGAAACATAAGTTCCTGTACCATGGTCTGAGCTGCCCGCCCACGCTACAAGGTAGGAGACAAAGGGGAGAGAGAGGGGCACTGGGGGGGGAGGGGCACAATGGGAGGGAAGGAGCACTATGGGAGGGGGAGAAGGAGCACTATGGGAGGAAAAGGAGCACTATGGGAGGAAAAGGAGCACTATGAAGGGGAGGAAAAGGAACACTATATGGTAGTGGGGAGTAGGAACACTATATGGTAGGGGGGAGAAGGAACACTATGGTGGCGGGAGAAGGAACACTATGGTGGCGGGAGAAGGAACACTATGGGACAGGGGAGTGGGGAAAGAACACTATGGGACAGGGGAGTGGGGGAAAGAACACTATGGGACAGGGGAGTGGGGGAAAGAACACTATGGGACAGGGGAGTGGGGGAAAGAATGCTATAGGGCAGGGGAGTGGGGAGAAAGAATGCTATGGGACAGAGGAGGAGGGGGAAAGATTGCTGTGGGACAGAGGAGGAGGGGGTAAGAACGCTACAAAAGAGAAGGGGTAGAGGAACAGTAGGGGGAGAGAGGAACATTAAGGGGGGGTCACTAAGGTACAGAGGAGGGAAGGGAAAATGAACACTGGGGTAGTGGGGGGTCACTAAAAGAGAAGGAAGAGGAACATTATGGAGAATGGGGGGCACTAAGAGACAGGTAAAGGGGAAGGGGAACACTAAGGGACAGGGGAGGGAAGGGAAAGGAACACTAAGGGACATGGAGGGGAAAGCGGCACACAGGGGGTCCTGGGTGGAGAGAAAGACTCACAGAGGGACATGGGGGGAGTAAGACACACAGATGGGCCTGGGAGTGAGAAAGTCCACAGAGGGGCTGGGGATGAAAGCGCCACAAAGAAGAGCCTGTGGGTGGAAATACAAAAGGACTGGGGGTGAAAGACACAGAGAGGTTGAAGAAAGGAAAATACAAAGGAGCTGGTAAGAGTAAAAGACACAAAGGGACTGGGAGAGAAGGAGACACACAAAGAGGATGAGGGGGAGTAAGAAACACAAAGGGGGTTAGTAAGAGCTACACAAGGGAGGTGTAAGACACAATAGGGAAAAATAGGGGATAAGACACTAAAGGGGTAAGACAGTTAAAAAAGGGGTTAAGAAACAAAAGGCAGGTTAAGAGGCACACAGGTGAAGATGCTTTTGGGGCAGGGAGGGCTTCAAAAATCATATTCGCCTGTGTATTGTGGTAGCCCAGGAATGAGAATTACCCCCATGATGGCATACCATTTGCAAAAGTAGACAATCCAAGGTATTGCAAGTGGGGTATATGCAGTCTTTTTTAGTAGCCACATAGTCACAAACACTGGCCAAAGTTAGCATTCACATTAGTTTGTGTGAAAAAAAGCAAAAAAAACAAACAAACTAATATTTGGCCAGTGTTTGTGTCTATGTGGCTACTAACAAAGACTGGACATATCCCACTTGCAATACCTTGGGTTGTCTACTTTTGCAAATGCCATCATGGGGTAATTCACATTCCTGGGCTACCATACGGTCTCAAAGGCAACATTACCAACATTTTTTTAAAACCAAATTTGCCAAAAAAAAAAAAAACCTACTCTAAAACAGAACTTTAAAAATACTATTTATACGATTAAACAAAATGATAGAAATAATCTTTTAATATATAAGCCAAAACAAACCAATGAATCTGTATCTCTCCCCTTATTTTTGATTTTAATAATAAAAGTAGAAACATATAAGAGATCATAAAGAAACATCTCTCAGCTAAATCATACCCAAAAATCCAAATATAGTTTTTAGAGGAGCACACAATTTTAAATCCATTTTAACTACCAATTTTACTAGAGAAACTCCAAACAAACAACATCTGACCTTTTTCCCCCAAACCATAGGTTTTTTGCAAATGCAAATTATGCATAGTCTGAAAAACTACTGACCCCACTGTACCTTCCAAAGTAACCTAATTCATTTCTAATAGGACAAAAAGGGTTTATAAGGTAAAACATTTCATTAATTGCAAGACAAAGAATGTAATATATCTGCTTGAAAGCCCCTGTGGCTTCCAGTATGTTGGAATGACAACAAGGTGCTTAAAATTAGATTAATCAGAAATATTACAAATGGATACTTGAATCATTCAGTATCCAAACATTGTATTAAACACAATGAAGACCCAAAACTGTTAAAGTGTATAGGTATCAAGAAATGTATGATACCTTGGAGAGGTGGGGATACAAAAAAAGGTTCTTGGTAAAACAGAAATGTAATGGGTACACAAGCTACAGACCCTTGTACTCCTTGGCCTTAATGCAGATGTTAATTTACATAATTTTCTGTAATATGTTCATTAGATGTATGCATGCTTACCTCTATCATCTGCTATTTTTATTGTTTTATCTTTTATATTTTACATTGTTATATTCCCTTATTAATTGTACCCCTTACATGTATTTCTAACTATTCATTTATGTAATATATATATATATATATATATATGTTATCTGTTATCATTTGCAAAAAAAAACCTCATACTGCCAGGTATTTTGTGTTATTCCATTTTGATAAAGCCCTGAGGCGAAACGCGTTTGTGGATTTTTAAATGTGTATTATAATAAATATTTTTAGTCACTTCCCTTGTGCCGACTATCTTTTTTATACACTTTATTTTTACCTGAAATTTTTTAGTATCCTGTACTTCAAGAAATCCGAGGTGGGGGATCATACCACCAGCGCTGTTACTAGGGAGCAGTTAGCCTGCTCTTTGCTTGTGAGTACTATTTTATATACTGTTGTTTTTATTCATTAAGCACTATTAGTTGTCTCTTTTTACCCTCTTTTCTGAGTGTGGACCATACCCCAGACAGAAGAAACCCACAATATATCCCATAAGTGGAGATTATACTGCTGTACGCCCTTCACACTAGGAGCTAGCTATAGCTCTACTAAATGTGAGTTTATTCCCGTTTATTTCATATTGCACTATTGGTACTTTTTATTTGTTTTTTGTCTTTCATATAAGTGGATTAGTCTGGATAAAGACACTGAGGATATTACTCCCATTTAAGCACTTTATTCTATCTTTGATCTGAGTAAGATCCTTCTTATTGGACTTTTTTTTTACTGATATTTGGATTTTTTACCTATTTTATGTGTTGGGATTTTTACTTATTTAATGTTGTGCTTTTCACTGCTTATTATATTTTGTTATAAGAATTGGTGCAGCCCTTACTTCTATTTTTCTTACTATCTTTGTTTCTGAAGGGTTTGGAGGGATCCCCCTTCTAGGGTTGTGGCCCATCTGTTAATTAGCGCTTACTCTTTTTTTCTGTTGTTCACAAAGAATTTAGCACCTAAAGTTGCACCTACCTCTTAATAAGAGGCATCTTTGTACGTGAGAACTTGTATTGTTGGGAAGAGACTTAGCAGCACCATTTGTTCAATTAATTGTTATTTTACCAACTTCTGTTACCACCATTTTTATGTTCTTTTAGATTTTGAAGGGTTGAGAGGGATCCCTTTTAGGGTTGCTGCCTTGTTTATTATTTTTGGTAACTCAGCACTGACCCATCTGTGTGATATTATGCATCAAGTTGTGAATATGTGTTTAACAAATACATAACTCCCTACATTGGTAGGTATGCAGATCAAGATAGGTGAAAAGACCTGACAACTGATGACACCCAGTGACATGACTCATGTCAGTGGCGATCGCCATAATGGGCAAGTTTACCTAGAAAAGTGATGGGTCTGCCCACTGAGGGAAAAAGGGTGCTGGTCATGCATTTTCCCCCAATGTTTGTCGGGTGCTGCGCCCTGTCTCTTCTCAGCTACCAGGAAAGCCACAGGTCCTGTTCTAGAACTTTCATTCACTCTCCTGAGCTAAGCTCTGCAGTGCAGGGCTAGTCCATTAGCTTAGAGCAGCAAGAACCAGATTGGGGTTCTGTCTCAATTTACCACAACAAAGATGGCCTCCCCTCCCTGCTGGTCAGAAACAGCAGAGATTGCAACCGCAAAATAATTTGAACTTGTTTCTAACACTTAAAGATTTTCTTGTAGATTATCTTTGGAATTTACACACGTCTATTAATCAATATTTTTCATTCTTGAATGAAAAAAAAAAATAATGACAGGGTTTTAAATCCATTCATAAAATACAAACCAGACAGTTTTTTGGACATAGATTTTGAAAATCTGAGAAATATAACTTCTGACAGTCAACCAACCCAAAAATTTCAATAGGTTTCTCTTATTGCATTATAGGGCAATTTATGCGAAGAATACACAGATTTGCTACCGTGGGCAATCAAAGTTCTGTTGCCATTCACCAGCACGTACTTGTGTGAAACTGCATTCAACAAAACAAAAACAAAGTATCAAAACCGACTTGATGCATCTGCAGACATGCCTTTTGGCAACAATTAAACAATTAAACACTTACAATATAAAAAAAAAAAAAAGCCACCATTATAAGTATAGCTTTTTTATTTCATATTGTAAGTGTTTAGTG